GTTTTCTGCGTAATTTTTTTTTGTATAATAATTTCTGTGTGGCAAAGGACATTGTCATTCACCAACCATCAATCACCATGATCATCATCATCATCGTCATCGTCATCGTCACTTGTACAAAGGTCGCACTAATGTTGCGAAAACGCTAACAAGGTGCAGTAACTCGTCCCACCCATATTCTTTGGCGAAAATACGCACCATTATTCCCCACTTGCCAGGTGCACATGAGGGCCAGGTGAAGGTCCTTGGATTTTATCAGGGTCACTTCCCCCTCCTTCCCGTTTCTCCTTCCTCCTTCCCCGAAGAGCGAGCTCCAGCTCGCAGTGGGCACTGCCGGACCCCAACTACCAACTCCAGATCAAAGTAACTCCACATCATAGTAGGAGTAGCAGTGGTAGGTGTTTTACAACATGTTTTCGTTTGGTGTATAGTCAGTAGATTTGCTAGGGAGTTGCCACCTACGTCGCATAGGGATCAAGTATTCCCCGACCCCTTAAAATGCATGGGTATTTTTGTATGAACTAGTTTTTGTAAAATTAAGAGATTACCTAAAGATATGAGGGGGTGTTCCTCATACATTTTCAGTATTTGGCTTCAAAAATTTGTTTAGAAAAAGGTGGGGAGGCGGTTTCATACCTTGATTTTGCAAGGACAAATTGCATGCATGGAAGTTGACACCTTGTCAACAATGAGAAACAGTGACAAAATGAACGCAGCCACTTTCTTGTGACAATCGGCTGAGTAGACAATCGGTCAGAACAATGGCTAACATGATCCGTGATGGCACCACGGAGGAGATGAACCTCTACAAGATGCCTGTGGGGAAACAAATTATGTCCTTGCATCCAAGCCCTACAATGTTACAATGATCGTGGATGACAAGACGACTGCCACAATGGTCTATCCAAAGCTGGACTTGGACTGGGACAGTGTGTGCCATGACAAGCACCGATTTCTTCAGCGCGATGACAACTGAAGAGTTCAACAAGATGATGAAAAATCAGGAGAACAATGTCGTGAAGAGCCCGGGCAATTTGAGAGAGCCAAGTTTCAAACAACACTTGCTCTCGCAATTGACCCAGGATGCTCTCTTCACAATCGCCTATCACCTGATGAAACTCTACATTGAGACAAAAGGACAAGGAGACTGTGTACATCTTCAGCTTTTTGCCGGAGACCAACAATGTGCTCCTCCATAATACCCGTGGACGCACCAGTCTCTTCTCGAGGGGATATCCAACAACACAATACCAGATCTTCTCACCTATGGCCTACCACCTGACTGAGGATGAGAAGCAATCGGTGGCAATCCTGCGCTTGAAGAAATTCAATCCTCTGATGTACAACAGGCTGTACAATTGGAACGCTGGGTTCATGTGGGCTTTCCGCATGCCATTACAAGTGGAGAAATTTGTGGAGATGAATGAGAACAATGCGTTCCATGCCGTGATCTTCACACAAATTCTGCAATTGGCTGGAGTGGAATCACTGCAATACCTCAGTGACAATTTGCGTCTGAAGGTCATCACATGGATGTCCAAGAATGGGATTGAGATGCCAAGCAACGATTGGTTTTACCAAGGGCTGTCCGATTTCCTGTTGGGCAATCCAGCTCTTCAACAATGCACTGGATGAACAACTGGACAAGAAGGAGGAAGCAAAGGCTTTGAATGAACAAGAGGCCACGGACAGTGCAGAGAAGAAAGGCACGAAGCGCAAACTCTTCGAATTCAAGATCGATGAGAACGGAGACTTCACAATGGAAGAGGTCAACAAAGATGAATGAACGGATCAACAATGAAATGCCTGAGAACACAATCTCGGAGAAGAAGGGCCTACGACAATGCCTATGCACTATGATATCATGCCCTTCATCTTGGATGAGACAATGAGGCATGCGACAATCGTCACGGTCTGAGGAACGGTTTTCTGTACAGACTTTCTGCAACAATGATTTGGACAATGTTCGGAACGGTTTAAATGTACAAGTGATTTGAGTTCTGAACAAAGATCCAACAATAGCAGTTCTAATGTCTTTCCAGTTTAACAATCTGGCACGACAATTGTTCAGTTTTATGACGCGTCAATTGCGACGACAATGGAAGCAAGGGACGGTGTTAATAACAATGCTGTTGTACCATGTGTTCCACACTGCACACAGTAGTGTTCGTGCACAATATGCTGCCCAAGGCCTTGAGCCTGAACGCAACTGAGTCCAGAGGAAAACAATGCAGTGAGTGCGCGATACACAATTTGGTGACAATCGTGGAAGTGAACAATTGAGGAGATTGACAATTGGAACAGTGAAACTTTACAACCTCGATGGTTGAAAGGTATTTGGCTTGGCAAAACACCTCACAAACGACCCTCACATTGTTCCGCATGATGCAGGAGTTTTCGTGACACGCAGTGTGAGACGTTTGCCAACACCATTTGTCCTTGGAATGTTAGGTGAGATGAAGTTCAGTCCATGGGAGTTTGGCTATGCTGCATTTGGACACAGAATGATGTACAACAAAACGTTGTCTCCACCTCAAGCCGCTGGTATGCCTACGATTGCTGATGTGGAGGCTATTCTAGTGCATCAGTACGCAGCTGAAAATCCAATTGAATATTTGGATGTTGATCGTGAGGCCCGGGCGGGGCGAGAGCTACCGCAACAGTCCTCGCAGCTGGCTGATGGTCCTGTGGATACAGAAGTTCATGAAGGCCAGCCACAAGAGGCCTGAATCAGATGGTGATGGCGAGCAAGGTTCCGCCAAGAAACCAGGTTTTGGCAATGAACAACCAGTGACACCACCTGCAGATGATGCAATGTTGTCTCTTGGTGAACGGGCTCCAAAGACCCCACGTTTGGTTGCCCAAGTCACCAGCACTGACTTGTCCCTCTATGAGCATGAGGACAGCGCAGTGAAGTTTGAGTTCAGCAGTGGTGATTTGGATGAATTGGAACAATGAACTTGAGGTCTATAATGATGAGCTCTTGGCGGTGGACGATGCTTCCACTTGCAGCAGTGCTGACATGGCCAAAATCCTGGAGCAACCCAATTAGCCGTGCGAAGGAACCAGATCTTCCCTTGGAAGAATTGACCCGCCTAGATGCCCTGGCAGACCAGCTTGAGTTGCAAAGGCTGGAGAAGCTTCAGGTCTTGCAGGATCCAAGCACAGTGCCTTCAGATTCAAAGGGCAGTGGCCGTGCAACCCTTCGTCCAGTGGCAGTGCAACAGCAACCAGTGCTCATGTCAACGCAGTAGCCGATGCGATGATTCGAATGTTCACTGCGCAGGAAAATGCTGACGAGAAAAAAACTACAGATATTGATGCAGAGATGGAGACAGAAAGCGAAAGAATGCGTCGATACCAAAATGCAGAAATGTGTGAGGTGAGTGATCCCGAAAACTGGGTGGTATATCGCCATGGGCAGTCAGAGACAGAAACTGAAAATCCAAATGAAGATTTGGATGTTGATCGTGAGGCCCGGGCGGGGCAAGAGCCACCGCAACAGTCCTCGCAGCTGGCTGATGGTCCTGTGGATACAGAAGTTCATGAAGGCCAGCCACAAGAGGCCTGAATCAGATGGAGATGGCGAGCATGGTGACGCCAAGAAACCAGGTTTTGGCAATGAACAACCAGTGACACCACCTGCAGATGATGCAATGTTGTCTCTTGGTGAACGGGCTCCAAAGACCCCACGTTTGGTTGCCCAAGTCACCAGCACTGACTTGTCCCTCTATGAGCATGAGGACAGCGCAGTGAAGTTTGAGTTCAGCAGTGGTGATTTGGATGGATTGGAACAATGAACTTGAGGTCTATAATGATGAGCTCTTGGCGGTGGACGATGCTTCCACTTGCAGCAGTGCTGACATGGCCAAAATCCTGGAGCAACCCAATTAGCCGTGCGAAGGAACCAGATCTTCCCTTGGAAGAATTGACCCGCCTAGATGCCCTGGCAGACCAGCTTGAGTTGCAAAGGCTGGAGAAGCTTCAGGTCTTGCAGGATCCAAGCACAGTGCCTTCAGATTCAAAGGTCAGTGGCCGTGCAACCCTTCGTCCAGTGGCAGTGCAACAGCAACCAGTGCTCATGTCAACGCAGTAGCCGATGCAATGATTCGAATGTTCACTGCGCAGGAAAATGCTGAAGGGAAAGAAGCAACAGATAGTGATGCAGAGATGGAGACAGAAAGCGAAAGAATGCGCCGATTCCCAAATGCAGAAATGTGTGAGGTGAGTGATCCCGAAGACATGGTGGTATATTGCCGTGGGCAGTCAGAGACAGAATCTGAAACCCGTGAAGTGAGCATCACCACTAGCCTTTTTAGTTCCATATCTAGATGAGTGGAACTGGCCAGGTCTCAAAGAGACATAGCATGTAGTGGCGCGGCAAAGACTGTCCCCGCGGCAGTTAGAATGTGGATTTGAAATACATGCTGCAAAGCTGACGCTAGCAGCAAGGCGGGGCGCAACATGTGTTCGTTTGCTGTATAGTCAGTAGGTTTGCTTGGCAGTTGCATCGCATGTCACATAGTGATTAAGTATAGTCTAGTACCTGTTCATATCTACAGGCGCTTGTGACTCAAGCAAAACAAGCATTTTTATGTTTTATTTTTTTTTTGCTAGATAGATTTCTAGTAGCAGAAGTAGAAGTAGAGGGGTGATTCAGACGAAGCAAAAAAAACGTAGCAATAGAACAAAGGAACAAGTACAAGCCAAGAACAGAAAGAGGAACAACGCCTTCCAAGCAGACACCGGCAGGCTGGCGGATCCTTTCAAGTTTGTACCGAAAGGTTTTCCAGAATGCATTTGCATCCAAACTTCGAACATTGTTTCGAATTTTCACGCCAGGAACCGTGCTGGTTTTAGATGTTCATTTTTCCAATACCGGTTTACAATATTTTGAATTTGTGATTTCATTCAAGAACCGGGATGGATTGTAAGTGGTTGAAACCGAACAATCGTCTTCGCATGGGCATGTGCAGGCTCCAGGTTAGATATCATTTATTTAAGGCCTGATGGGGGCTGCTTCTGCCCCTGATCCGGCCCAACCTGGGGATGGAAAAACTGCCGCCAATGTGACTGAAGGGCAGGGACAGTGGCTTGGCTAAAACATGCTAAAACATATATCGCACATTGTCCGTTTAGTTTACCAACACAGCTCGGAGGTTTTAACTTCCAAACACTGGCAAGCACTGCGGGTGTCCAATCGCGGACGTGACACGCACTCAACCCTATGGTTTTGGAAAGTGTATCTGCAAAAACCATTTGTCATCAAATCAATTTGACGTGAATTTTGCACTTAACGGCAGTAAGGGTTCCAAATTGTCAGCCGGCAGGGTTCCAGTCCAGTCTTGCGTGCCGGCAATCCCGCTGCACCATTCCCGATCCAGGAGTTTGACATTGGCAACAGTTTTTTTAAGCAGTTTGTAACAATCAACGTGCATCATAAGTTTAAAAAAATATGTTGCACTTTCAACGCCATTGGTTTCGAACTTTGCCACGCTGCAAGCCCAAGGCCCAGTGAACCGAATGCACAAGATGCAGGCAGCTCAGCAAGTGCCACTGGAACTACGACTGCTGAGGCCAATGCACCCCCGCCATCAGCACCGCAGCAACCGCAGCAGGAACAGCCCCAGAGCGCCCAGCCCCAAGGCCCACCACCGAAAGCAGAACCCCAACCACCTCCAAGAGCGGCACCTGCCGGAAGCGCACAGGGTCCGGCGGCTGAACCAATGCCCGCTTGCCACTATGAGGTTTTGGGCGTTGAGGCGTGGGATTTGTGGGAACCATTGGAAGCGAAACTCCTACTTTGCATTGATTCATCTATGTACATCACTGTAGAGGATTAATTAACCGAATTAACCACACACGATATGTATGATAGCTCAAAGACAAGCCTGCCATGAATTCAATTAAAGCGGACGACGCATTAGAACAAATTTGACCGAATTTGCCCAGATCCTTTTGCCAGTTCGACCCCGTAGTTTTGAAACGTTTTTGGGCCACCTTGTTTGAACAAAGAGATGGTACGAAATGATAACAAAATTTTGAACTAATATATATATATATATGTTTATGCATATGCATATGCATATGTATATGTATATGTATATGTATATGTATATGTATATATATATATGTATATGTATATGTATATGTATATGTATATGTATATGTATATGTATATGTATATGTATATGTATATGTATATGTATATGTATATGTATATGTATATGTATATGTATATTTAGAGTATAGATTAATGTATGTATATGTATATTGTATATGTATATGTATATGTTCCATGAATGTATATGTATATGTATATGTATATGTATATGTATATGGTATATTATATGTATATGTTATGTTTATGTATATGTATATGATATGTATATGGTATATGTATATGTATTGTATTTGTTATCGGTATAGGATATGTATCTGTATATGTATATGTATATGTATATGTATTATGTACTGTATATATTTATATTATGTATCATGCATGTGTATGTGTCATATGTAATATGATTATATGTATATATGTATATATGTATATATGTGATACCTGGATATGGTAATAAGCATAAGTATATATGATATACGTAGATAGGTATATAGAGATATGTTATGTATAGATGCATATCGCATATATGTAGTAGTATTACGTATATATTGTATATACGATATAGATCTATGTATACATGTCTCCATGTATATATGCTCTATATGGTATATCTGTATATATGTATATATGTATATATGTATATATGTATATATGTATATATGTATATATGTATATATGTATATATGTATATATGTATATATGTATATATGTATATATGTATATATGCATTTATTTTTCCAACGTCTCTGATTGTGATTCCGTTCTCTAGTAGGGTAGGGAACCATCTCAAAGGTTGATTGCTCCGGTATAACAGAAATCAACCATGACAAATGGCCGGTTTTCGGGTGCTGCCCTTAGGTGGTCTTGTTATTCAAACAGAACTCACAAAACACTGTAGCACACAGAGCTGGAGCCCAAGATGTTTCTCACATTGTGGATGGTTAACATGGCTAACTTTCTGCTGTGTCTGCGAAGGGTCATCAGCCATCAGTTTCCCAAGGTTGTACTCGTACCTTTCTTATCTGATTTTATCGCACATGATCGGGGCCTTGGCTGATCCAATCCACTGGTATGATCACAACGGTTTGTTGTTTTTGCCATGAAACTGAGAAAGCGTCAACCTGAGTAGGACAGAAACGTTTTTTCTACCCACAGTGGAAATCTCAAACTGTTGTTTGCGGTTTTTTCTTCGCTTCAAACAACAATTATTATTCGGCATTGGCTCGGGAATCCCAAATCAAATTTTCCTGCGCCGCCTCGGCCAGCACAACTGCACAGAGGATGAGATCAAAAAGGCCGCAGACTCTTCCAAATATATTTCCTGGATAGACATGGGAAGACATGGGTCGGTTGGTTGAGTTTAGACATAAACCAAGAGGGGAGGTGGCCTAATCGAAACTTAAATTTCCATAATTTTCCATGATTCAGCCATGAATGCACGGATAAAATTTGGCAAATTGTAGTTGATCTTGAAGCATATATATATATATAGCAATATGACCCATCCCCCCCTCGAACCTGTTAATTTGGGTAGCTAGTAACGAACCCGAACCATTTAAACTGTGTGGTTTGAAGATGCTTAGTGTCCATGGTGATGAAAGCAAATTAGAACATGTATGGGTTTTAAAAACATGATTATGTAAACATGTAGAATGTAGATCATGGCTCTTACGCTGTGAATCTGAAGTTGGTAAGTTGGGGAGCCACCTGGTACATTACTTGCGGTGGCCATTCTGCACGGCTCTTGAACAAATAGGACCGTGAAGAACCTGGAAGATGTCATAAATTGTTTGAAGGGTGTCTTCACAGTCTCCTTACAGTCTCTTCATAGCAATTTCAACGAAGTGATCCGCAAAACATTGATTTCATTGAATGGCTCTTGTTCGGGCTGGTGAGTTGGTGGATTATCCCCAAAGGATCCCAAAGATGTGATTCTTTTATCTTTAAATTATAGTATAATAGTTGACCAATGTTGATCATATAGTTTTCATAACACAGGCAATCTCAGATTGGCAGAATCAATTTTTGGATGGGTCCAGGTAAGAACACTGGGTTGCACAAAATGAACCCATGAAATTCGGGGGTTAGAAGAAATGGTTTTATATTGAAACCATTTGGTACCTGGACATTCATATCTTACTTGTTCTGGGTCGACTGACAAATACTTAAATGACTTGCTTCGTTGCAAATGTCGTTGTGAGACGTTGCGTGCTCGCGCGGGGTGGGGCACAGTCTGAAAGACAATGTCGCTGTTAGGTGAGACTGCAAAATGGTCTTGTCAGGAGAGAAATCAGAAAAAAAACGCCTTTCTGCCCCAAAAAGGGTCGTTGATGCCAATTTATGCAGAGAGAAACTATTTGAATATCAGGCAGTTTCCCGGCGTAGGTATTCCAGAGATTCCAGAGGTGATCCATGGTGAAACTATGTGAAACTCCCCTGCTTGCGTCGCCCTCAATCGCCATCATCAAGTCTTCGCCCACGCCCACGACGTGGAATGGTGATCCCAGCTTTCCCATTTTTCAGGGGTGGAATCAATGTATGGTTATTAAAAAAATAAGTATAAATACATACATGAATAAATAGAATATATTTATATGTATATATATATTCTGGAACATCAGATTGTTTCTATCATGTTTATGTATGTTATGTGGTGGGGAGCCCCGCTTTGTACCGGTCTCAGGGTCAACAACGATACGCAGAGCGCTCCGCAGGCTTACAGAGACCTGAGTAAGAAATATCACCCGGATAAAAACTTTGGTTGCACGTGCCTTGGTGAAGGCTAACTTTATGGCTTTAGAACCTGAAGGGTCCTGGTAAAGGGGTTCAATTTGATGCAAATTGGGGTATCAGACAAACCTTTTCATCTTGATATCTAGCCACAAGCCAAGCGGGGAAATAAAATATAATGATACCGTATAACCACCTAGAAAACTATATGACATGTGTGGTTAGTCTCTAACACCAAAGGTTCGCCGTGGGTTTTGGATTTCAGCAGTCTGTGTGGACTGTTTGATGAAGGCATCATATATTCATAGGCTAATAATTATATTCCATGTTTTGATTGGCCGTTTCATGCAAGTTTTACCGCGCATTTTCGGGGAGTCTTTACCCGCAAGAAACATGATGGATTTGAAAGTTGTACCGCGCTAGATTGAGGCATATCTGAAAGGAGCCTGGCACCACAGCTCTTCTTTACCCGTCTATACTTATTTCTATGGCTAGGACAGGACAATTTCCAATCAATCTGCCCATGCGGTTTTCCATCCAGCCAACTCAAAAAAAAGGTGCAATCTTGATTTCTCAAAATGTGGGATATGTGGGTATGCATTCCTACTTTTTGTTTTTGATTCTTCTAAGTGCTGTTAATCATGTTTGCAAACAAGCACGGATTTGCGTTCGCTAGTTTTTGTGTTTTCAAAATTTAATCGCCAGCATTGGTGCGCCACCCATACCTCTGCTGCACGCGAGCTAAGGGATGCCAAGGAACGCTTCCAACGTATCAACGAGGCCAAAATTTTACTCTTGGACCGGAAGCAACGTGTCTCGGCCCTGGGGAATCTAACTTGTTGGAAAATCGTTCATCGAAATGTCCTTCGTTCTGGGTCAACAGTGGAGGAAGAATTTTTATCTTTCGCACATGTAATTATCATAGAAGAGGGGGCGCCTATAAACTATTTTCAGAGTATCTAAGATTGGTAATGTGATGTGGTTTCCTTGGCTACAAATTACCAACTAGCGCCAATTTACATCGCCCATTTCAATTCATTTCGGGTAGCCCTTGAGACGGTTTACCGTTAGGGTTGCCACAGTAGATGATTTTGTTTGTGAACCATTGTTTTGTGAGTTTTGTGATGTTTTTCGAACCGCTTCTGGAAGTCAGGGCCCAGTTGTGGGAAACATTTCCCTCAGATTCCAGGACCAGTAAACTGAGCAGATTCAGAGAAATTTTGAAATAGCGTCTAGTCATGCCAAACAAAACTTAAATCGGATGGTTTGCGGACATCCCCTATACATTTGTGACACCCGAATGTAAGGAAATGACGCCTTATATCCCATTGTTTTTCGAGAAGTGATGGCAAGGTTTAATAGTAGTAGTCCTTTTGATTATCAGAAGGGGGGTCATTTCTCAACGCGAGAAAATTGTCATTTTACAACCAGGAATTTAAGTCATGTTTCAACGCGCCAGGGGTCATTTCTCAACGCGCCCCATTATTATATCACTGGATTTTCAGGAATTCTTCCAACAACCGGTGAGTATTGATTGATGGTCATAACTTGAACAACCAAGCATTCAAAACCATGGTTTCGGCACCGGCGCCGGGGAGTTGGAAAGGTCATGAGTGCTGATTCACGATGCGGGATCCGTTGGGTCGCAATGTCGCAAGCCTGTTTTGTAGATTTCCTTGCGTCTGATAAGACACAAATCTCTTGGACAGGTCGCCGAAAATGCACCATGACATCGCATTCTAATTCAGTTTGAACTCATCTTCGGCTACTCCAAGTTTCCGCCGCCTTTTGAGCAACAGAGCGTGTTGGAAAGTTATGAGTTGAGAAAGTTAAGAGCGTAGCATCAAGAACGTGTTGGAAAGATATGAGTTGAGAAAGTTCAGAGCGTGGCATCAAGGGTGTGTTGGAAAGTTATGAGTTGAGAATGTAAAGAGCGTAGCATCAAGAGTGTGTTGGAAAGTTAGTTCATCAAGTTACGACCGTAGCACCAAGGGAGTGCTGGAAAGTTGGTGGTGGAAGTTAAGAGCATAGCATCAGGAGTGTGTTGGAAAGTTATGAGTTGAGAATGTAAAGAGCGTAGCATCAAGAGCGTGTTGGAAAGTTATGAGATGAGAAAGTTCAGAGCATGGCATCAAGAGTGTGTTGGAAAATTATGAGTTGAGAATGTCAAGAGCGTAGCATCAAGAGCGTGTTGGAAAGTTAGTTCATCAAGTTACGACCGTAGCACCAAGGGAGTGCTGGAAAGTTGGTGGTGGAAGTTAAGAGCATAGCATCAGGAGTGTGTTGGAAAGTTATGAGTTGAGAATGTAAAGAGCGTAGCATCAAGAGCGTGTTGGAAAGTTATGAGATGAGAAAGTTCAGAGCATGGCATCAAGAGTGTGTTGGAAAATTATGAGTTGAGAATGTCAAGAGCGTAGCATCAAGAGCGTGTTGGAAAGTTAGTTCATCAAGTTACGACCGTAGCACCAAGGGAGTGCTGGAAAGTTGGTGGTGGAAGTTAAGAGCATAGCATCAGGAGTGTGTTGGAAAGTTATGAGTTGAGAATGTAAAGAGCGTAGCATCAAGAGCGTGTTGGAAAGTTATGAGATGAGAAAGTTCAGAGCATGGCATCAAGAGTGTGTTGGAAAATTATGAGTTGAGAATGTCAAGAGCGTAGCATCAAGAGCGTGTTGGAAAGTTAGTTCATCAAGTTACGAGCGTCGCACCAAGGGAGTGCTGGAAAGTTGGTGGTGGAAGTTAAGAGCATAGCATCAAGAGCGTGTTGGAATTGTTTTAGTTGAGAAAGTAAAGAGCGTAGCAACACGAGTGTGTTGGAAGGTTGGTTCATCAAGTTACGAGCGTAGCACCAAGGGCGTGTTGGAATCTTAGTGGTGGAAACTAAGAGCATAGCATCAAGAGAGTGTTGGAAGAAATGGAAGGCAGCAGGATGTTATTACCCCACTCCGCTTCCTCCGAACCCCTCAATCGCCCCGACCCGCCCGTCACCTCCCGGGCACCATCACCAAAAACATGATGGCACGTATCACTAATGCTTCCAAACCATGCCTGTTGGTATCACAACTAAGTGCCCACACTAGAGTTCACCTTGTTGGCTGCCAACTTTTCACGGTGTCCATCCAATTTGGGCCCAGGAGTCGCCTATGACGCAAAGATCTACACCGAAAAGTTGTTGAAAAAAATAGGCGCCTGGCAACATGAACATGTCGACATATGTCGACTATGTCTGATGTTTGCCTACGGGATGGGAATCAAAAAACGCATGCCATAAGATGCTTCAAGCGTTTCCAGGCCGCCCCGTCTGGCCACCGGGCAGTTGTACAGGTGCGGACTTCAACCAGCAGGTGCAACAGTGGGTGGAGTTCACCATGTTGCAGCAGGAAGGCTGGAAAGTGGACTACGTGCGCCCGCGGTGGGTCAAGCTGGCAACCCCAGAGCTAGCTAAGTTGGTTTTTATATGTTTTTATGTTGCCATTGCTGTAACTATAACTAACATGACATAACTAGACTTCCAAGGCCTCCTGTGATAAGTGTCTGGTCCTTTCTACCGCTAAGCATGCCTTGGACCTAAGCATATCTAAACCCTGAGAGAGCAAACATGTCTTGATGGAACGTGGGTGATGAAAATTACTCCCAATGGCTGACAAATGGATACAAATGAGCAGCTCGAACGTCCCCATTGAAGATTTTTTTAATATTTTTTTGCTATGTCCAGAAAATTGTAAAATGAAAAAGAACCCCAATGAAATCAGATCAATATTGCAACAAATGTCGCAGGGGCAACCCGAGTACTTAAGAATACTTAAGATACTTAAGACAACCAGCATTGCAGCCTTTTTTTGCGGACATCACCCAGTTACTGGGCATGATCCCTTAAGTTTGTTCTCTTAAATACAGCAACGGTTGAGAACTGGAACCGTTAATTATTGAAGATATTCCCATGCCACTTGGTTCTCCCTAGATGTTTAGCCGGCAGGTACTTGTTGCGCGGGGCTTGACGGACGTCTTGCCGAATCACTTCAACCTCTTTATGCGGCAGTCTGGTGCGCGATTCATGAGCATGCACAGTCCCACACAAGGGGCGCTTCGGCAGAAATCCTCACGAAGGTTGGGATTTAAGTGTGACAAAGACATTCAGTGGCTTGGCAGTTCATGAACATAGCGATTATGGAATATGGTTTGTAGATTTGTAGATGTTTGTAGCATCATGAAATCAGGTTCTCGCCATTATGACATGGGGCTGTCATGGTCAATGTGTGGATTTTTTCTCTCAAACCGTATCATTCTTCAATGCGGGCACATATCCCCGCGCCGTAGAAGACATGTCCAAGCTGATTTGAAGGTATTTCTTGAGCATTCCCAGCAGTCCTTTCACAAACCATCTTCCACCCTGGCGCTCTGCTGGATTGGAACATCGGTTGTCCACCCAGATCCAACGGTTTACATTGTGTTCCCCTACCAGCATTTTTTTTCTGAAATTCAAACTAAGGGTGTTTCCTAAAAGGGGATACCCCCAAGCCCAAATCATTTTTTGTTGGATTTTCCATTGTAAATCATCAACTTTGGTATAACCCCGTTGATGGACACTTTCATATAATATATTCACCATTTCAGGCGATTTTTTGTCCCAGGTCGTGTTGATAGGAGGCGCCCCAGCTATGATCAAGACCCGCCGGGGCTGGGTGTTTTCTGTGGCGTCGCAGGGACATGCAGCGACCAAACCCACAAAGTCAGGATGGTAAGCCAAGGGCACCATTCCACACAATCTTAACGGTCATACCCATTTGGATTTTTTTCATTTTCCAGAAAGCGTGAAAACGATGTTGGAAACCATTTGAAGTTGGTGTGTGAAAGGCCCCAATGAGTGGATTCTGGCAAGTGTATTTTCCGGTAATGAGCTGGGATGCACATCCACGATATCGTTGAAAACGATGCACTTTACGACAGCAGAAAGGTGATACCAACGCCGTTCAAGCAACACATACGTGGCAATCATTCATTTTTTGAAATTTGGGCATTGTGTGCTCATGGGAACATCGCAACAGGGTTAGAAGAGAAAGTGATGATGCAAGTGACAACGCCTTCGAGAAGCAGTTCCTAGCAATATTAGCAGCTTGCAACCATCAGTGCATGGGACATATGGGAGAGGAACTGTGGACATCCAGACAGTTGCTAGGTACTCATATAGCAACTCCTGACCAAGTGAGGTAGGTACATGTTGCCTTTGTTTTTTTCCACGGGGTGTGCGTTGGCTTGTATTAAGAAATCAAGATGAGTTCGAAAATCGCCGCAGGAGAGGTCAAGACTTGGTCAATAATTTCGTGGAGGAGCTGAACGGAGACCGCGCTCCAGCAGATGGCGCGGTCTTTATTGTGCCGGTGCAATATCAGCAAAAAATGCCTTTGATCGCGAACCATTTTCAGAGTTGGATGTGGCTGCTTGGCGGAAGATGCGCACTAAGATGTGGGGGTGCAAGTGGGCTGATTTTTGCCAAGGATTATTTGTGCACCACTTTCAAGCCAAGCTGATCTAGAATTCAAACATGTTGTAGATCAGAATTTAGTGGTTGATTTGCTGTATGATAGCTTCATGTCACTTCCACGTGCTAATACGTGCTAGCCCTGGACATAGAACATGCACAGCTTCAGCTGACGTGGATGCTCGTTGTTTTAATAGTTTCCAGCTGGAGGACCTTCATCAACTTTCCCGCGTGAATTGCCAGCCGTTATGCCTTGCTTCAGCATCATTGACTGCGACATTTGATGGTTTAAGAGTGAAAGTGATCATTTTTTGTCATAGTGAAAGCGGATTTATCTATTTTTTTTGATGCTCCACCCTTCTCGCTAAACTACATATATAGTGCCCTGCAGCCTGCGAATCCACCCGGGACACGGCTGGAGTGAAAGCAGTTTTCGGGGCCCATTGTCACCCCATGGTTTGACCATTTCCATCAAAACCAACAAGTATGTCTATTTGCTATGGGGACAAATCCCAATGAAACTCGGTTAGTTATGTGTTCGCCTAGAATGAACAACACCCCAGTTTGTTAATAAAAGGGCTTCAAAATTTCAAAATTGGTAAGGTACGATTCACCTCCCAATTAACCATCTGGGGCTGGCATTCTATCATGCAGTTCGTAAGGACCTATGGAACCCAGATGTATCAAGTCGGGCGGGATCGAGAAGGGCGGGATCGCGTGGTGATCCGGGGTACGCGCTGGCCTGCCGTGGTGGCAATGTTGCAACAAGCCGTGGATTTCACCGGTGGCATCCTGAGCCTTGGTTTGTGGGATGTACTTGGATCATTGGACCGGCAGCTTCCTGACCAGTAGGGTGTACCCATTTGGGCGCTTGTCGTGGGCAAGCGGCCAAGGCATTCCGAACCCACAAGAAGACGTTTGAGACAAACCTTGGTATGGGTGAATTTATGGTTTAAAATTAGATCATGTGTAGCCAAAAACTGGAGGAATATCATGTGCAGCTAGTTTTTTGGGGGAGGCTGGTTATCTTGGACCTGCAAGAGCCATCATTGAAGCTGGACAATTTAAATAATCGAATGCTGTAGGAGTTGAACGGGGGTGGGCTCACTACAAAGCCACGATCATGGCCAGCTGTTGCTCACAAAGTTCATCCAGAAGTCATAGCAGCTTCCCGGATATTCAATTTCCACATCAACCAGCATCTCTGACTTATCATGACAATACAAATCGAAGAAGTTGCGTGTGATTCTGAAGAATTCTTCGCCTTCCATTCCTTCCATCCCCTCCATGGCAACGCCAAACCTTGGAAGCCCAAGGCATATGAGTGGCCAATACCTGGATTGCTGGCGTTGCGCCCACATGTGCGAGCTGAATGGCATCGTAAATGCTCAATTTATCTCAGGACCCGATGAGCAGAGTGGTGGATAGGGGACAATAATGATCAAAATGCCATCACAATCATTCACAGTTTCAAAACGTTTTATATAAACATATATGAACGTCATACTCACAAACTGGTGTCTTCCTCTATCCTATGTATCAAGGAGTAAACCAATTACCTGCCAATATCTGCCATGTTCCAAGTGGGATGGACAATTTGTTTCGATAAAATTGGAGGACAATTTCAATCCACAAAGGATCAAACTTTCTAGTTGGTGGGTATCTACGGCATCTACAGATTTGCAACTTCTTAAAGGGTCATCCAATGTTGCCACTGTCTACACTCCATCTCCTTACGGTACAGGACGTAAGCCCCAATGTGACCCAGTCTATTTGGACTTTAGAGTCGGAAGCGGTTGTGCCCACTGTAGTTAGGTGGTAAGCAGGTTGTAGCTATCATGACATGTGCAGTTTTTAATGGAATATACAACCCACGTACAAGAGAATATAACTCAGGAAGTTTTTGGAGAATACAAACCAGTTTATGTGACTCTACCCCTCACTAATTAACTATAGATATACCTACTGTACCATAAACCTGAGCTAGCCTGCTGCTCATAACTTACTTTGGTGTGTGCTCCACCTTGCAGCTATAGGGGATCCCAATTTGTGATAGGTCATTTGCTTCCTCCTCAGCGGGATCCGGATAAAAACACGGTGCGAGAGCTCTTTAAGCCCCTCAGTTGCGGAAGTGTTGTGGTGAACATTGGCAAATGTTGAGGCGATAATTATGGGAATAGCTGCAAGATGCCAAACATGTATATCTTTGAAATATTTTGTTGCGGCGGTTAGTATCTAAGATTGGCCATGGCGCCATCCTGACATCACTGCCATCGAACTTTGCAGATGACCTCGGGGGTGTTGTTTTTGCGAGGAGCGAAGGAACAAGAGTTTGGTTGTTTCTTGATGTTTCTTGTAGTTATTTCTGTTTTTTGGTTTTGGTGGATTTTGACTCCTTGGCTTGTGGGGTTTGTGAATTTCTTGGCTGTTTGGCTTCTGGTGTTTTTTGGGCTTTTCGGCTTTAGGCGTTTTTGGATTCTTTGGGTTACGCAGTTTCGTGTAGACCAATGCTCGCTTACTTTCTTTTGATTTCGGCGTGTTCACTATGAAAGATTCAATCCCTCAGATTCCAACAACCACCACCTCGCCCTGGCCCTGCCTCTCAGCCTCCTCCAGCAAATAGCGTGCAAGCAGCGATTCAATCTCCAATATGCCTATCTATGGTGCAAACACCCCCTAGGGTATTCAATACATTTCAATACAGAAATGCACAATAATAACATCAAGAAAGCCTATACCCAGCAATCCGGTATCAAATTTGAAGAAAAGTTGCTAGCGTATATTTCCTAAAGTGATGCAAGTATCAACCACATGACACTTTCCAACCGGAAGATGATGCACACTGATAGATTCAGGCTTGATATTGCTAGAAACCGCGTGCGCATGCTTGCAGATGAATTCAAGATTTCAGCTACATCATGACCATGCCACCTGCAGATTCCAATTTCCGCATACTGCAATTACTGTACCGCAAGCTACAGATGCTAGCTCCAAAATGCTGCAAATACTTTGCGGATGAGAGAGAGGCATATCGCAAGCACTGTGCAAGATGGAAATTCTAGCCCAAGAATGTTGCATGTACGATACCAGCAAGACATTCAAGGGTCAAATTAACATACTGGCAGGAAGACACCAGATCTTAACCTAAAGGAAGTAATCATAAGTAATCAAACAATACACTTACAAGAGCCCTTTGTAGGATTCAAGGCCAAGCCTCCAGTAGGCTGATCTGCAGCCATTGACTCTTTCGAGTGCAGTTCAGTTTTGCCCAGTTCGCCTCATGGGTGGGGATCATGTTCACAGTGGCCATTCTATCTCGCTGTCAAGGTATGTCTTGCAGCTGGACAATCAGCAGCTGTCGAAGATGGCCTTCTGGCTGAACTTGGGGCACCACCAACAAGCAACACAGTTTTTCACGCAGTGTTCTTGCAATTAATGTGTTAATTAATGCTCTTGCTGCTATTGTTGTCATTGTTAATGTCTCAAGTATATCCCGGAGTTGCTTTGCGTGAAAGCCTGTGTATATAGAGAGAGAGAGGGAAACCCTGCACATGTAAAACACGTGCTGTCCTGTAAAAAAAACCCAATGTCATCACATTCATCCGCATTTGTCTTTGTTCTATCGGCATTTTTGGCTGGCTTAACCCCATATCTTTGTTGGCTTTAGTTCCTTCAAAATTTGGGTGTTTTAGCCACGCATGGCATTTCGAACAATGATTAATGATATCATCACTTTTTACTTGTACATTGTGGGTGGGATTTCCATGAGTTTCCCGTAGTTTTGTGGTTAATTAATGTTAATTATATAAACCCATTTTGACCCCATTTGTCTGATGGTTGAATTAATCAATTTGGATGATTTTGGATGGTAAAATTCTTCACTTTCGTGATCGTAACTCATTGAATTCACATTTTTTGACACTTACAGTATAAACATATTAAAACCATTTTGGATCTTCATGTGTTTTGACAATTGCAAGCCCCAGTTGTTTTTGGCCAACAGCCGCTTTCCATGGCAGTCGTTGATCGACCTGGCGGTCCACGCCTTGACCCTGAAGCAGCAGCGCCAACCCACCTGCGCCACAGTGCGTGCGGCGTCCAGCCAAGCGGTATATGCAGAGTACAGCCAACTCCCAGCCAAGCAGAGCAGCTTGGACCATGATGGACCTGGCTGAACTGTTCCAACATGTTCCAACTACGAAAGGTCGGTTATTGTCACTTGTCTATTTGTAAATTATAGCCATATTGTCGGTAACCCGAAGTTTAGCCCATGCCATGACACATGAAAGGTGGTTGCCTTTGCCAGGAAAAGCAATGTAGCTTTAAAAGTTGGGATGTGACAGATGCTGGAAACGTCATGCCATGTCTAACCACCCTGCTATGTCACGGGCCATCCCAGTAAGCTTCCGCAAGGGGGGTTTGTTTCCTCACTGATGGCAGCTTCACCCTTGATGAAACTACAGTAATAAGTTGCATCGTTTTCTCCATGGTATGGCCACAAGACCATTGTGCTGTGGTGGTTATATAAGGACTTTCCCGCCCAAAAAAACACGAACAGGAAGATGTCAACCGGCAGTCAAACGCATACTGGGATTAACCCTGCAAAATTCTGACGCGTTTTCACTCCTTGCAGGTGCTCCATTGCTTTTGGCCTTCGCGCGCCTTCAGACCTCAATGTCTCAGGCCTCTCGCCGATCGTGATAGCCTCCATAGGTCACTTGTACACGTTCTTAATTACTTCCTTCTATCGAGGTGCAGTGCACGCACCTGCACATGCCATGGTCCACGGCAGGTTAAACCTGGAAATTGACCAACTTTGTGAGTTCCTGTTTCCAACACGGTGCAAGGTTAAATCGCCGCCGCTGGCAACCTTTTTTTATACTTCCATCACTAGTGCACATGCCAGTGTTGTCGTTAGTGATTTCTAAAATCCTTGTGTGCCTGTGAATATCCAATATATGATTGTTTTCTTTGTTTGGGGGCATGACCACCCCACATAAGTTAATGATCCTTTATTGTCCTGCATTTAAGATAGTCAAATATTTCGTGTGTGGTGTTCACCAAGTTTAATCTGAGGTCCATTGAGGTCCCATTGTTTGTGATTTTGGATATCTAGAATGCTCGCCCTGGTGTTCAAGGAGATTGACATTTGATTCCACATTGGACCACTTGGGGTAACTATTAGGTTCCACATGGATTGCATGTTTTCATAGGAAATCAACCGTTGACACCTTGTTGCATTTTCTAATGGCATTAACTCCTTAGACAATGGGCCCATTAGTTTTTTGGCTAAGGGTGATGCATGGCCATACGTATGACCCATTGAACATGATGCGATGATTGAATCTTTGACCCCTTGGTTTATTGAAATTGGGATAAGGTCGTCACCCAGTTGGTCACAAAATCAGCCAACTAGCCAAATATATATATATACATATATATATATACATATATATATATACATATATATACATATATATACATATATATATACATTCATATATTGTAATATCAATTATTTATTATTTTCTGTTGATTTCATGATCCATGTCAATGGCAGGTTGACACCCATTCCTAGATGCTTGCCTTAGATCCAAACAACGGAAACGGCATCGAAAAAAAAGGGGAAAATTCAAATGGTTTTTGGTTTTGAAGAAGTGCATTTAAGATAATCACTGATGTAAGGAGGGGTCTGGGATACCCTCTCCTCACATCCCTCCGGAGCGCTCGTGAGTGCTCTAAGCCCTACCTAGCCGTTCATTGAAGGCAGTTTTTTTGACAGCTCTAAGCCTACATGATTTTTTCCCCTGCGCATTGAAGACAATCAAGGGATCACTCCGGAGCACTCCCGACTGATGTAGTGAGATGTAGTGAGAGGGTCTCCCAGACCCCCTCGTTACATAGTGATTATCTAAAATGCACTTAGGTTGATTTGTAAACTTTGAATTTTCACTATTTTTGCTTTCATCAGTCCAGCAGCCCTGCCAGTAGTTCCTATCACTTATTGGGCCCACCCAGGAACAGGGAAAAAACATAGTTTTTCAAAGCCTTGGGAGGAATCCGCATCACCGAATGAAGCCTCCATGGCGCAGTTCCCATTTTTCTTATTTTGAAGGAAAATAAGGAAAATTAACGGGACTCCATAGTTTAGAACTTCCAAAGATCTATTCAACCAATGCTATTGGGTTTGGTTTTGGCCGCTGCAGGGCGCCAGGATTTGGCCACCAGCTGGACTTCCCCCCACAACCCCTTGACCCCACACTGCATAGACCACCCCTCAAATTAGGAGCAGTCAAATCTTAAGATTCAGATAATTCATTTGTGGAGGCTCCGAAAATATCAAGTTCAATATACAGCTATGACAATCTAGGGGGTTATTCATTTATCACATCACCACACTTGATTAAAAAAAACATGTTTATTATAGGCAATATTTGATTATCTTAAGTGCACCCCAGTATATATTGGATATATTCCCCATTATCTCCGTCATATTCAATTTTACCCAAGTGTTGTTGATTAAGTTCAACCATTAGAGGGTCATCCCAATTTTATAACTGGTTAGTTATGCATGGGAGAACCCCAGGGGACTTACTAACGGTTACTAAGTGGGATGGTCCTCCAAACCTGCAAGGTGGGCAGCTTCATTCAGCAGCGCTTTGTCGACCAAAATCTTCAGACACTTCAGCGCTTAGGCCACCATGGCCGGTACATCACATGTTCACACCCAAGGTGGAATCCGGAGGGTGAGTTCACATGAGTTCATGGTGATTTCACCTCCAAGGTCACCGGCCAATGATGGTGAGTATGCTCTCATTTTATAGTGGGTTTTTAATGGTTCATAGACTTTTTCAACAAACAAAAAATGTACATGGTTAATATATGTTAATATCGCCATCAACTTACCATTTACGGTGAAATTGTGTCAATTCCCCCTTGGGGTTCACTATTGATTGGGAGAAATCGGTCGATCGGTCACACGCCAGGACCCTTCCTGGACTGCTCCGATGCCATGCTCCTGCGTTCCAAAGGTTCCTGGCTGATCTGGCGTTATTCTTATTGATGATATATGCTTGAGATTATTATATTATATTTTTTATAGCCCCCATGGTTGGGATATGGAGCCCTTACAACTTCGGTGACTTGATGATTTCACGTTTCCAACAGTTACTGGTATCTCCACTATGGGCGTGGGTCAAATTTGATGAGACCTTGGACACCTTGGACTCCACAAGTGATTTAAGACTGCAGCCCGGTTCAACAATTTGTTCATGTTTATACCCTAATTGAGGATCCTTTAGGCAATTGTTTAATGTTTGCTATGTTTTTTGGGCGCTTCATAGTGGATGGTGGAGACTTTGGTTCAAGCACAAACTATGCGACTGATAGGCATTGAAATACGCTCAGCATTGCCAGTGACAGCCGCGACCATGATTTGGCCGATCTTTGCCGCTACTGCGCTAGCTGTCACCGATGGCAGCTGTGACGTGCCAAACTTCGTTCATGCCGAACTTTCCCAAGATGCATATCCATGACCAACTTAGCTGGCCAGATGCCAGGGAGTCCAAAAACAAATTGCAGTCAGTCGAGTTAGTTACTCGCCATCGGCGAGCGTGTGACTGACCAGTGGCTTGGGATGAACAAACCAGACATTCTCAGATTTGCTCCGGCTCGACGGCGTCAGGTCTGGTCGAGTCAGGGATTGTCAGGGAGACAACCTGGTTGGCTTACGGCCAGACCCCAGGATGGTTGGCTTGGAAGAAAAGAGCTGATTATCGGTTAACCAGTTTTGGCAGGAAATAAAAGTGCCTCTTGAGAAAAGGCATTGAAATGGACCTTTTATGACGCCGGAAGATTGGTACAACGGCGTGCCTGTGACGGCCGACACAAGGGGTTATGTAGAACCAGGTGCATCGCATTGAAGAACTCTGACACATGGGTGGTTTTTGCGGGTTCAAATATCGACACTCCAGAGGTGGAATGTGATTTGGTCTAGCAATTCAAAAACTTGTTGAAGACCATGGTCATGTCATCGACTTGTTTTGAACACCGTGCTCACGATCCTTTGATGCACAAAGATTGGGGCCGAAAGTTCACATGAGTTTTGAAAATAGCTACGCGCTCTTTACAGTGTTGCGGGAGAAGGTTTACCTGACCACTCATGGGTTACAGTACAATTAGATGCAAGTGATGCAACGTGGGAATGTGTGCAAAACAGGCTGTGCACTGATGCATTTTGAATGCAAAAACCAAAGGTGGTTTCCTTATGTTTTCTATGACGCTTGACATTTGACCAAAATCACAGATCTTGACACATATCTAGATGTTCGATCTCTGGCGCAGAGAAACAACTAAAGACAGATGATGAGCTAGTTTCGGCATGTTTCGGCCATTTTGGGCCAGCCAGTTTGAAGGTTTATGACGTGGATTTTTTTAGCACAGGCACATGCCCATTTTTCTCCACCCTGTCTGGAATGATTTGAATTGTCCAATCAATCTTTCCATGGTTGCTGCAGAGCGTTGAGCATTTTGAAACGAAGAAGCGTCCGGGGTTACCATCTGAAAATTCAAATCTCCAGCGGTGTATCATCCTCCATAGTCTTCAGAGTTATGGTTTTGTCCCAGTCCTGGATGATCCTTGTGGCAAAGTGCTGGCCACGTTTCATGGGTGATGACTCAATGACGTGGCTAGACTTAGCAACCCTGCTAAGAATAGCTGGGTTACAATTGCACTAATTGCACATGCACTTAACATTTTTTGTTGATGTATATGTACATGTATGTATTATATATACATGTGTATATGCTTTGTCTTTTGAAATCCTTTTATACTAATTATGTATGTTTACATCGTAGCTAAGACTAAGACATAGGCCTTCACCAATGTTTGTTCAATTTCGCACGATCTTGCACAGGCTTCATTGCTGCCAAGGAAGCCGTGCCCGATGATGCTTTGTTGACTTTCAGGGGCTGCAGCTCACGGAGAAAAAAACATGAATGTCATTTTTGTCAGTCCAAAGTCGTGGTTTAGGAATGAAAAACATCTGACTTGGGATCTAGGGGATACAAAATCAAAGGCATTGGCAAATTGGTTCGAAAGTTTGACACCCGGGCCCCTCATGTTTTTTTCGTTTTATTATTTTTTTGGGGTTTCGGGTATGCCCCAGGTGCGTTCATCGATTCCAGCATTTAAGATCTGCCAATCTTCCCCAAGTTGGAAAAAATCAGGGGAAAAAATCGCATGGTTTCCAGCAAAAATCTGTAACTTTTCCCTATCAGATCATCCCTTCCGCGCCTCAGGATGCCCAATGGCACCGCTGGGACGACGTGCTGCGGCCAGATGGGCGGCTCGCGAATTTCTGGAAGGACTTGAGGACGCTTCGACCAAAGTTGAATGATATTGGGATTTATTGGGCATAGAAAAAACAAAAAAATTATCATGTGAACGTGCATTGTGACCTGACAATGGGGGAGCTGTATATATATATTATTGTTTTACATTATACATTTAGTAGAGTATATGGAAATATAAATACGTTTACTGTATCTAATCAAAACTAATTTATTATATTATATTTTATCAACATTTGCTATTATGTTTTAGTGTATTATATGTTATGGTCTATTGGCAAAAATATCTATATCTATTAAAATTATTGATAGATACTTCCAATTGTTGCAATTTTAGTGGGAAAATGATGACGCCCCGACAAAGCAGTCAAGTTGGGGACATCTTCCAGCTCGCTGCCCTGGGTAAACCAGGTGATGCCCCAGATACCAACTGGGGTGAAGCACCAAGCTGCGCCAAGTGGGAACTGGGGATGACATTTTACAACAGATATTGGCATTGGAATCGCTAACTATCCAAACTGATGCTGGGAATCCAGCAATCATTATCAACTGAAGCTGGAGAAGTGTTGGATTTTAAGGTCATTAGCCGAAACATAGGAGATCGCCAAGTGAAACCTCGATACATCAGGAAATTCTTCCAGCAGAATGTGGGGCTTGCAAAGCCTTGGGGCGTTAGCACGCCGCCGGCCGACTGGCACACGGTGCCTGATGTGATGTGCGATGTGCTGAAGCGTTGCGCCACTCGCTGGAGGTCTTGTGAATTACAGGAGCGGTTTAATTAATGGTTATTATATAGTAGCATCTTCAAATAAAGGATAATTTTCTGGGATGATTATGTATATATATATGTATATGTATATGTGCATATGTGTACATATATATATGTATATATATATATATATGTATATGTGTATATATATATGTATATGTGTATATATATGTATATATATATATGTGTATATGTGTATATATATATGTATATATATATGTATATGTGCATATGTGTACATATATATATATATATATTTATGTATATATATATAGATGCATGCTATGGGGAAATGATGGAATGCGTTTGTTTAAACGCAGTTCAACCACTATATGTCATGATTTTGGGCATATAGTGCATGTCGACTTCACAACGAGGTCGCCATAAATGATGGTTGACAGGGAATGATTGATTCCCAAGAGTGGCCTATGTCGGGTCTGTGAAGGATAGTATATAATTTGTCCACGCAGTTCGGCGATTATGACCTGTGTGGGGATATAGCGGCGATGTTATGGGGATATTGAGGGTCTTGCATGGGAGTTTAGCCATCAACCCAAACTATAGGTATAGGGGTTAGTTCTGCTCCCCATGATACATCTGAGACTTTATCAGAACCCATGAGCTGGAAACCTTTTGGGATGCCCCAATGCGGAGTCACCTCCATCAGGCTATTGAAAACGACACGTTGCTAGCCTAACTATGGAAAACCATTGTTTGCCTAGGACCTAGGAAATGATCTGCAACTCGTGGATGTCCATATCTATTAGTTTACTGCAGGATCTGTTATTAAGTCCACTTGACCAGTAAAAACTTGGCCGCTGAACTGCCAGGATTGAACTCGTTTTCATTTACGGCTGGCTGAGGCATGCTGAGGCAATTAGATCAACAGTGCTTGCAAATGTTGCTTGAAACACGTTCCATGACTCTTCTAGCCCTTCCAGCCCGACAACCCCAAGAATGAACCAGGGACATCCCCTGTTCATATCATTCGTCTGCAATGCACACAATCAAGATCAATAAACATGCCCATATATATGATCCAGACAATTCGCCCACTTCAACAAACAAAAAATCACCCCCCATTGGCAGACAAGAATCGTCCAAATTTTCCCGAGGTGCAGGGAACCAATCTCTTGGTGGACCTTGAGAAGGGCATCTTCCGCCCCAAAGAGCCTTCCGCCCCTGCTGCGCCACCAGCCCCCAAGACAGTCGCGCCACCGCTGCCCACGGGCCGCTCCACGTCGTCGGCGAGTGGAGCAGCGACGACCCGAGCGCCAGTGGAGGAGCATCTGACGCTGGTGGAGCATGCAGAGGCTGTGGAAGGGACGGTTTTCACGAAATTCACAGGTGTTTCTTGTTACATTGTATTGTTGTGTTCTTTTTGATCTTGTTTCGGAATAGGTTCTGGTGAGTTGGAACCCCAAACCTTGGAGTATGCGTTTCCTCCAAGAGTTTGAAATGGGGTAGATGGAGTGCGGTTTATGCGGTTGAGACATCAGCCTTCAATCAATTTCCTGTCTTGTTTTCTAGATATTTGCAGGCGAGTTTTTTTTTTGCGCACTTGGACAGTAACTAAATGCAATTTAGTGAAAGTGGTGATTTTGTGGTGATTTGTTTCTGATCGTGAACATTTGAATTCTCTGGCACGTGTTTTTTTCAACGCGAAACATCCAATCAGTGCGTCCTGGTGGTCTTCCTGCAGTCCGTACCCATGTGTCGCTGATGTTTGAGAACATCTCAACATCTGAACGCCGCATAGAAACCTGATAGAATCCACGAACCCGAATGCATGTAAACACTCAAGATGTGCTGATAGCCATTTGCAGTCTACATACATTCCATGCGTTACATTGGACAACCCCCAAGGCCAAACCACCCAACAAACACACGCTGTAGCAGCAAGACTCTCACACTATGCGCTGCGCATTTCATACGCAGCATGACACGCTCTACACTGTAGAATCCACACTGCACTTCACAATTCCAAGTCCAAAGTCCGCACTTTCCACTCCACCCTCGACACTTTCCACTCCACACTCCACACTTTACACTCTACACCCCACGGTCTCTTGCTGAAAAAAATGCACCCCACACTTCCCAGTACTACTTCGTTCTGCAAAGCTTGCACAAAGTGCCCCCCAGTACTCTTCTATTCTACAAGCCTTGCACAAAGTACTTCACAGTACTACTTTGTACATTTTTGTGCTACAAAAGCACCTCCCAGTACTTCTGTGTACTACAAGCATCTACAAGCCTTGCATAAAGTAATTCCCAGTACTACTTTGTACTACCAAGCTTGCACAAAGCACTTCCCAATACTGCTGCTTTGTATTGCAAAGCCTGCACAAAGTACTTCCCAGTCTGAAATGAGTCTGGAATGACTCGGAAACGAGTCTGAAACAGGTTTGAAAGCTACTTCACACTACAAAGCTTGCACAAAGTACTTCCCAGTTTTACTTCGTACCACAAGCGTTGCAGAAACTATTTCCTAGTACTACTTTGTACTACAAGCCTTGCACGTACTTCCCAGTACTACTTGGTACTACAAAAGCAGCTCCCCATACTAAATGGATTGCAAGGCTTGCGCAAGGTACTTCCCAGTACTACTCTGTACTGCAAAGCTTGCACAAAGCACTTTCCACTACTACTTTGTACTGCAAAGTCGGCACAAAGTATTTCCCAGTCCGAAACAAATCTGAACAGAATCTGAAACGAGTCTGAAACGAATCTGAAACGAATCTTCGTATTAGAAAGCTTGCTCAAAGATGCTCAAAGTACTTCCAAGCATTTTTTACTACAAGCATTGAACAAAGTACCTTCCAGTGTTACTTTAAGTACTACAAGCATTGAACAAAGTACATCCCAGTATTACTTTGCACTACAAGCCTCGCACAAAGTACTCCCCAGTAGTTTTTCGAACTACAAAAGAACCTCCCAGTACTACTTTGTACTACAAAGTTTGCACAGAGCACTTCCCAATATTCCTTTGTGCTAAAGCCTGCGCAAAAGACTTCCCAATACTACTTCGTACTACAAAGTCTGCACAAGTACTTCCTTGTTTGAAATGCTCCGTCATACTGAAGAGCTTGCACAAGTACTTCCCAGTATTACTTCGTACTACAAGCATTGCGCAAAGTACTTCTCGGCACTTCTTTGTACTACAAGCCTCGCACAAAGTATATACTTCCCAGTTCAAATTCGTACTACAAGCATTGCACAAAGTTCTTTCCAGTACTACTTTGTGCTACAAAAGAACCTCCCAGTACTGCTTTGCACAACAAAGTTTGCACAGAGCACTTCCCAATACTCCTTTGTGCTAAAAGCCTGCGCAAAAGACTTCCCAATACTACTTCGTACTACAAAGTCTGCACAAGTACTGCCTTGTTTGAAATGCTACGTCATACTAAAGAGCTTGCACAAGTACTTCCCAGTATTACCTCTTCTTACAAGCATTGCGCAAGTACTTCCCGGCACTTCTTTGTACTACAAGGTTTGCACAAAGTATATACTTCCCAGTTCCAATTCGTACTACAAACATTGCACAAAGTTCGTCTTTCCAGTACTACTTTGTACTACAAGAGGTCTCACAAAGTTCTTCCTAGTACTACTTTGTACTGAAAAATCATACAAAATCACCTCCCAGTACTACTTTGTACTACAAGTCTTGCACAAAGGACTTCCCAATACTACTTTGTATTACAAAGTTTGCACAGAGTACTTCCCTATCTGAAATATGCCTGAACATGTCTGAAGCAGACTTGAAAGCTACCTCGTACTACAAAGCCTTGCACAAGTACTTCCCAGTATTACTTCGTACTACAAGCATTGCGCAAAAAGTACTTCCCAGCACCACTTGATACTACAAGCCTTGCACAAAGTACATACTTCCCAGTACTACTTCGTACTACAAGCATTGCACAAAGTTCTACTTGGTACTACAAAAATACCTCCCAGTACTTCTTTGCACTACAGTCTGAATGCCACGAAGTCCCAATGACATTCCTCAACTTCGAAACGTCACGTTTAGTAGCAATTTTTGTGGGCACAGCGCCACGCCTGCCGCACGAAATAAAGTCTCGCAACTTCACAACATCGCATTTTACGAAGTCGGACGCCTGCTACGCGAAATGACATTTATCTCATGTTCAAAACATCACACTTTGTATCAAGGCCGGGCACAGCGGAAACAAGATAAGCGAGTGAAACACGCAACGGGCCGCAAACAAAGCTCTACCCCAAGACCCCCTTATACCAAGAAAACAAGGTAACGCGGGGGCTCGAGGCCCCTGACGAAATGAGCATTAAAATTAAGCAGCAAATAATCAGGGAAAACAAGAACCCCTCCTACGCATTCGGGAAAAATATGGAAAAATGGCAAACCAGTAGTTGACAATTTCGGGTCAGGAAACCAACCCTTATTTTTCCGAACTCCCTGTGTTCAAGGGCTGCTGAAGTAGCAACAATCAAATCATATTAGAAATTGGTGTTTATCCGGGTACCTAATGAGGGTCAAGGTATGTGAAATTAGAATCAGCCATTGGTTTCTGAGAGGGTACATTGACCCCCGCGACAGGATGTCATGTTTGAGTTGAGCAATGAGAGAAAGCACGATGCGGCGGCTTACATGGAACTGAGCATGGTGACGCAGAAGCTTCAAAAACGACTTGGACAGGAAACATGGATTTGTTGAGTCGATGATTCTTTTCTCCCCCTTGGTTTCCATACACGAATTCCTACATATTTGAACTGTCTAGCGCTAGAAAAGAGCAACACAAACTGGCCAAAAGACATGCCAAATACCCTCTGGTAATTTAACATAGCTATTGAAAATGGCCATAGAAATAGTGGATTTACCCATTAAAAATAGTGATTTTCCATAGCTATGTTAGTTTACCAGAGGGTACCACTAAGGATGCGGACAAGATTTCCAAGAATTGGTATTCGAAATTCGAGCTGTCCTTCGATGTGAAGCAGGCGAAGCAGGTGACCTCGGTGACCTCCCCCGATCATTGGGTGAAACTCACCCTTCCGGGCCGAAAAAGGGCTGAGTCTTGGCAAATTTTGGTGAACTTGCGTTGTCAAACAGTTTGCCATTGAAGATGGCCATCCTACAAAATCAAAAGCCTGGCAGATCGCTTACAATTGTTATTTTTCCATGATCGATTTGTAAGTTTTTGCCACATGGCAAATTGTTGAATTGCCAGAGGGTAAGCGCAACAGTTGTCCCATTAAGAATTGAACTGTTCGCTTGGCCCACTTGGCATTAGCAAGCGTTGGGAAAACAAGCTGGCCATTTCTTGTCGGTCACGCAAAACCGCGGATGTGGCATGATGTGGCAGCAATTGATTGTCTGTGTTCCTAACCCAAGGATAGCCTAGGAGTCGTTGCTTCGCCTCGTATTGGCAAGGTCATGCACAACCGTTTTTCCGCAAATGTACAGGTATCAATAGGACATTTCTATCAGTAGTACCCGGCCGTACCGGGGCGGAAGCTTTGGAAAAATAGCAATGAAAACGAGAAATCAATTGCCTAGAGGAAGGTCTGTAAGCT